CTCTCTGTCTTCCTGGCGAGTGCATGTGCCCTATAGCAATAATCCTCTCAAAAAAAATACTATATAAATAGTTTTCCATGTTAAAGGTTATAATACAGTTTTTCTGGGTTGTTTGGGTCATTAAAGATTGATAAAAAGTGAACATGGAACTTAGAACATCAAAAATTTCATATGTAAAAATATCAGTTTGTCATTTGTTGTTGTTAATAGCCTTTAAAGTGACATATACTTATAAGTATAATGCCTCTTGAAAAACAATACGTGTACAATTCTAGCATTATTTTGATAGTGTTAAGTGGACCCATATTCTATTAGATAATTTTTATGATGTCATGCTTTAATATGAGCATTGAACCTGGGCATTATTTATCTTGTAATGATCATCTTCAATTTCTTCAAATACCTCATTGTTGTTCAGAAACTAGTCATAGTGCTCTCAGAAATTAAGAAAAAATAGTATTCTGTTTTGGGAAAAGTCATGACGTATTTTTTCTGTTTTTCTGTGCAAAAATGTATCACGTCTTTTCGAACAACACAATAGTATTTACCCAGTTGCTTGGATTTTTATCCTTTGCTTTTCTAAACTTTGCTCCTAGTTTTGAAAAATGTCTTTTTTGTATTTCTCTTAAGAAAATAGGTAATAACCTATCTCCTTGGGAGGGGGGGAAGATGAGAAGACAAGTAACTTCTCCACTAGTGGCATTGTTGTGGTATGGTCTTGAACCTATGAAATGCCAAAAATAATCAGTGAAAGCATGCAAAACTCATGGGAGAGGCTGGGGCAGGGCCATGAGGAAGAGAATACATCTTACTGGATTCTCTTTTCTTATTATAGCAGGTGTCATTACTGAACATCGGACCCAGTATTTTTCTCACCTTCCTTTTGGGGGCTTTTTAAAAAAAGAAGATAATAATAAAATTGTAAGCCCAGCCCATAATTGTAGGCCAAGTGGAGTGCTCATTTTCACATTAGAGCTTGTGCAATCTGGAGGGAAATTTGTTTAGTATTACTTGTGAGTTGGTGGATCAGATAAAAGCCAGTCAAGTGGAAGAGAGGACTGTGTGAAGTGAGCGGTCTCCCCTGGTAATTGCAATGCTGCAGGCGTTCCTCCAGTCAGTTAATAGATTTCCCCAGCTCCTCTGTGCCAGGTGAAAATTTCCTCATTAAGGGGAATTTATTCCATTTCCTTTTATCATTTATTATTGAAGACTAAGTGTGAGTGGAGGAAGTTTCAGAGATGACAGGGTAGAATTTTAAACAACAACAAAATATACATTGGAAGTTGAAGAGAAAGAGGAGAAAGGCTTGTATTGTTTATAAACCAGAGAACACGTAAGGGACTTCTTGCTGTAGAAGCCGAGCCATGCTGTCTAACCATTACAAAGATTATGGCAGAGTGTGTAAAAATCTGATTGTCTCGTTTTAAGATGTTTCTCCCTTCTAAAATTTGAAACTGTCATCTTCTACTGTTAAGTAGAGAGAAACTAAAGATTATGGGAAGGCCAGCCTCACAGACTTTTGGTATGTCTGTTTTATTGTTTATATTCAATTAATGCAGTGATAAAAGTCTAACCTTTGAAGAGTTTGCCCTTGAACTCTGAAAGCAATGAATGCTGCTAGGGGAAAGAAGAGCTGTCTATGTAGCATATTTTAGAGAGTACAGTTCTGAAATATGAATTTAGTGTGTACATGTTCAAAAGAGTAAGGATAAACATAAAATACTAGCATACGCAAATACATATCAAATAACAGGAGGATAATTTATTGTATGCATGTTCAAATTCTGTATATTAGTGCAGTAGGCTCCATTCAGCTGATTACATTTCTAGCTTGGTATAATGCTCCCTTGATTTATAATATAGTATAAAAGGAGCATTCCCTTTTGAGGCTTCAAAAAGCAGTTTTGAATTACAAATTCAGCATTTATATTTCTTTTAGCAATTATTTTGTTTGAGTTTGTTCCAAATTAAGGTTTTTATTTTCCTTTGGAAAAATAAAAATATTATAGCCCTGTTCCTAAAATAAGCTTTTACCTAGCTTGATTTAAAAAAAAAAAAAAAGCACATAAAAAAAGTCACTCTATGGAAGTTCTTCTTAGCAGATAAAATGGAGGGTAGCCCAATATGGACAGATAAAGATGAGGTGCATGTATTAAGGACTACACACTGTAAAATGAGCTTTATGTTCACTGAAGATTATTCATCTTGTATTAGACTCTGAGGAGGTTTAACCTTATCGAAATCACTGGCCCTAAGCTAATGAATCGTGTCTTCAAACTGTCTCTTCTTTTATTTTATTACAACAAGGCACAAAATAAAATTTTGTACCAGAACAAGTTCGGAATAAAGTCAATTTTCTTCTCTGTGTAATGACATGACAACCAGGCTTTGCCATGCAGAGTCAGAGGAGAGAAAGAATGAGAGAAAATGCAGAGTCAGCTTCCTCCCTTTGTCAGAGTTGGGGTAGGTACCCTAAGAATGAGGCAGCACTGGATGTGGGAGGGGATCTAACTTGTCTGTATCTAATTGCCAGGGCTGGGCAAAGTCAGCATGCTATTTCTCAGTGTGGAGTATTCAAACTGCTGTATACTATTTCACAAATAGGTCTAAAGAGTAGAAATTCATAACCAGGCAGACCATAAATAAAATACTATAGAAAATACATCATTTTGGACATTATGTACATACTTCTACTCTGGACTTGTCTTCAAATTAAGTTAGATAAGCATGAATGTACTAATATGCCAATTTTATCATTCTAATTTTCAAGATATTTAAAAATATAATGTTATGTTATTGACCCAGTTATTTGAAAATTGGGGGAAAGTTAAAGTCATTTTTGGCTCACCAGGAAAATATTTTCAGAATCAGCTGGTGAGCTTAAAATATGTATTGTATAGATCTAGCTTAAAGCATCTGTTTCAAAATTCTCACCCGTTATTATTTGAAGGGATGCCTATGTAGAAATAATTTTCACTCTCATTCTGAAGTGTCTTTTATTTACAATCATTATTTTGTATTACTGTTGCTCTTTTCAGACATCCCTTTTAAGTAAAGAAAGCTCTCTAGGTTGGGGATTGTCGTGGGGGAACCGGAACAACTGAACTGGCCTTAGTGATAGCTATTTCTTTCCTTTTCTTTTTTTTTCCCCACCAGGGCTGAACACAAAATTAATTAACTTCACATGTTTATGCACATGGCCAAGGCCATTTCTATCAACTAGTCTTTCTTTTTCTTTTCATTCGTTCATTTTTTTTTTCTCTTTTGTTAAGGATTCAATTTTATGGGGTGGCTAGAGGAGGAAGACTTTGTGTATTTGCTAGAGATGTCTATCTATGCTCTATTGAACTCTTGAGTTGAAAAAGAATAGGGGAATTATGCAAATTCCAGTAGTAGAAAAGACTGTATTGCTCAACAGAGCTAGACAAAACAAATGTAAACTGATTGGCTGCCTAATAGAAATTTAAAAATCTAAACAATTTCTTTTTTGTTTATTTAATATTATTATTTACATGATTTATCATTTCTATTTAAAATAAGTAAAAGCAATCTTTCTGGACTAGAGGATGTTTCACATGAGAAATAAAAATAAATCATCAAAACCCAACAAAATCCAAAAAACTGAAAAACAAAGCAAAAGCCACAACAGCAAACAATTTGAAAAACAGACTCAAAAATATAAAGATAAATCCATGACTCCCACTTCTCTTGGACTTCAAGCATTTGCAGTGATGGTGCTGCCAGTAATAGTCATAATTACAGGTGTGTTGGTCCTTTACAAGACATGTTTGTGAATGTGTCTGGATCACGATTTTTCAAGGTTAGGATTTTAATCATCCAAGTTAAAGTGGTTGTTGATAGAGTATCATAATATGGGTTTTTGCCTCCGATAGTTTTTTTCAATAATAAAGAAATGCTGTAATTATGACATAAGCTAGTCTTTTCTTTCAATGATGATTGTAGGTTAGATGATGTTTTAGCAAGTAGCTAGAAATATCTAAGGGAAAGAATTTGCTTGGTATTATATATATGGTATTTTTCTCCCTAACATAAACTTTATACCTATTTTTAAAAATAAAGTTATAGATCACACAGCTTATGTGTAGCTTTTCACCATGAGTATAAATATTAATATGTTTGAGATTTCTGCAAAACTCATGATTTGAGATATATTTTTGAAAAGAACATCATCTAAAGTTCTAATTTAGAAAAATAACCTATTTGGGAAGCTCTTCCACTTTGAGGCTGAAAGTATACTAGCACATAAACAGAAAAGCAGTTGGTTTAGGAACATATTCTTGGCAAGGAAAGTAGAAACATGTTTCTAAAACAAATAGCAGCAACAATAAAAAAAAAATCCATCTACTACTTTTTCTTAAGGTAGCCATAAAATTGATTGTTTCCAAGACCCTCAAAAGCTCAGAAATAGTCTCCAGGGTTAAAAATTTAATATTATCATTTAATATTTTCATATAATACTGACATTAGACATGTACACATGTCCCTCATAGCAACTTTCACAGTGTAGACACATCAGCGTGTATTTGTTCCTATATACTCTGACCTCTGACTGTAGGAATTCAGTATCTTATCTTATTAATATAGTTAGTATAGACTTGAAGCATCGCACATGCTCATTAGGTGTTAAAACATTAGGGAAAAAAAAATAACAAATGTTGCTGTCAAGCTTCCTCCTAACTCTTCCCAATTTAAATCTTTATGGTTGCTATACCTATCATGTCCACTGCTGCCTTCAAATCATTGGAGTACATTTGCCCTTATATTTGTCAACTCCTTCATCTTTATACAGCTGAACTTTCTTTATAGCTCTGTTCTCACCCCTCTACTGCCATAGTATTTCTCAAGTACAAACCACTCATACTGTTACCTCTTTGCTCTAACCTCACTTTGTACCGCATAGCTTATACCTCCATGAAATGTTTTGAATCACACTCTTTCATTCAGTTGCCTCAAACACAGTTTCATATCTTCTCTGGTAGCATTTCCAGTAGAAAGGAGATATTTCAGTGATGATGAAATAGTCTATAATCTGCACCGTTTGGTATGGTGGCCATGTGTGGACACTGAACACCTGCAATGTGACTAGTATGACTATAGCTTTAAATTTTTAGTTTTGAAAATTTCAAATCAATTAGTATTTACTTTTAAATCACCATATGGAGCTAATGACCACTGTATTGGGCACTGCTATTCTAGAACATGTAGAACAGGGCTTGGCATACGTAGCAAGTCAAACGAAATATCAGGTTGTGTTCAAGGATTTGAAAAAAATGTGTTTACTCTGAGGGAATGCTTATCAAATTTAAGTGGGAATAAAAAGCCAAGAAATTAAATTAATTGAGATAAATAATTCCTTTATTTGAAATAAAGAATATTTAGGTGCAATGGAAAAAGCAAATTGACTAGGAAGAGCTATAGCTACAAAAGTCTAAATGAGTACTGATACTGGAAGACCAGATAAACAACCTTTATATATACCAGCTTGATTCTCTGTTGTCCAAATCCAGATTATAAATTAATAAAATAAAGAAGATTAAAGATTGGAATAGATGAAATACAAAATGTTTAATTCAACTAAATTGTATTAACAGGTTTTCATGAAATTTTTTATTTCGTACGAGTTAGAACTTCTGGCAGTACTCTGTTATGCTTTCATATCATTATATTTACTATCAAACTGGTATAATAGAATTTTATTGTATCGACTATTGCTTGAAATAACTGACCCACAGGTATTTGGTAAAAGATACTTTCACAGCATCTTTCACTCCTGCGTATCTTAGATTTTTATTTATTATTTTTGCATGCACTTTAAAAAATAATTTATCTTTTCTGTAAAAGTAGAAAAAATAAAACTAGCAAATATGTAGTTATAGCTTTCTTCATTCATTTAATATTTATGGAATGCCATTTGCAAGCCAATATGCTAGGCATTGGCAATAACCTGGAAAAGAAGCCAAATGTATTCTTCTTTCTCATGGAATTTAAATCTAATAGGAAGATGTGTTTGGTGAATAAATGTTGGGAAACATTAAAAATGTTTGATGATGATAATGGCCTGCTAAACTCTGTGGTTCTGACATGCCATGGCTCAAAGTACAAGAGGCAAAAAACAGGGCAGATCATTATGAATGAGAGAAAACTGAGAGGCATTTGTGGATAAGCCTTGGCTTTCGCTGACTTTTGAAGGTGGCTGGGAGTTGGACAGAAGTTGAGTAGGAAGAACTTATGTCAAAGACATAAGTGAGAAAAACACCACAAAGTCTGCGTTATGGAAATGAGCATAGGGAAAATGAGGAAATAAATCTAGCTTGAATGAAAAATGATTATAAAACTATCTTTTCAACATATAGAGATTTTTTCTTTTTTGAGGGATTTTTCCTATAGAGCGAATGTGCTCACCAGAGAGACAGAGACAGAAAGAAAGAAATCACCCCCCAGGGGGGATGGTCATGCCACAATCCCTTCTCCTCCATTCTTCTCTTGGGATCTTAGGCATGCATGCACACATGCCCGGTGTGAGTTTCAAGTTGCCAGATCTAGGATTTGAACCACAATTTACTACAGGAGTATAGCCATGTAACCATTACACCATCTGCTGTTTCCCAGATGTGTTATTTTAGTAAATCAAGGCAGTTATGGAGAGTATTGCAAGCCTGATGCAATATCAGGATATATAGGTGAAGATGATTCTTTTTTTTTTTTTTTTTTGGCGACCCCCCGGGGTGATGGTCATGCCGCAATCCCTTTTCCTCCATTCTTCTCTTGGGATCTTAGGCATGCATGCACACATGCCCGGTGTGAGTTTCAAGTTGCCAGATCTAGGATTTGAACCACAATTTACTACAGGAGTATAGCCATGTAACCATTACACCATCTGCTGTTTCCCAGATGTGTTATTTTAGTAAATCAAGGCAGTTATGGAGAGTATTGCAAGCCTGATGCAATATCAGGATATATAGGTGAAGATGATTCTTAAAGTTCATATTTATAAAACCGGGAGCACAGGTTAGATGGTGGAGAACAGATCAGAAACTTGGAAATCATAAACTAGCTGTGCTACTGGGGCCCCTGACAATGGTTAATATAAAATGAGAGATGAGGAGGTAACCAGATTAAAGCAGGTAATAGCTGAGATAGAATCTTGAGAATGAAAAACAGGAAGTGATTGCTGTGTACAATAAAGTAGGACAAAAGGCAACTTAGTAGAAGACACAGGATCTTATTTATTTATTTATTTTAGAATGGAATATCAAAAGGATCATATAATGACAGGTGGAGAAAATGAAAATTAAGAATCAGTTCCAGGATTTAAAAAAGAAGTTCTTGATCATTTTTTAAACAAAAAATTCAGATTCCCCCCCCTTTTTTTTTTTT